CACTCCAGCCTGGGCAACAGAGCGAGACTCTGTCTAAAAAAAAAAAAAAAAAAAAAAAAAAAGCAAGGAAAAAAAAAAAAAAAAAAAAAAAAAAAAAAAGGAAAAAAAATAGAAAGTATGTTAATAGAATAAAGTAATTTACATAGAATCAAAGGAAGCAAGAATTTGGCAGCATTAGTCTAGTAGTGCTGAGTGTACTGCTGCCAAGGTGAGATAAACTAAACACAACAAATACTAAAACCTCTAGAAAGAATACGCTAGTGTGAATCAGGGTAGGTTCCTCATACTTGTCAAATACATAAAATATCGCTAAAGACCATCTAGCACCCTCTCCCCTGATTCTATGCTCACCTGAGAGGATTCTGATTGTGCACTTGGCCTCTCAGTTACCTTTCCTAGAAAGGATACACGAGACCTTCACCTAGCAACATGACTACTGCACTCGAAATGTGGCTGATCCAGGCACTTTCGGAGGCCAAGGAGGGAGATCACTTGAGCCCAGGAGTTTGAGACCAGCCTGGGCAACATGGTGAGACCCCATCTTTATAAAAAGAAAAAAAAAGAAGAAAGTAACTAAATAAAAATAAAACTCTGTTAAAAAAGAAAGAAAGAAGGAAAGAAAGAAAAGTGACTATCTGAATTGGGATGTGCTGTAAGCATAAAATTCGTCCCAGATTTGGAAGACTTTGTATGAAAAAAAATACAAAAAATCTTACTAATAATTTTTTATATTGATTACATGTAGAAAGTATAATATTTTGAATACATTGGGTTAATTAAAATACATTAAAATTAATTTTACCTGTTTCTTTTTAGTTTTTTAAATATGTCTACTAGAAAATTCTAAATACATCTGTGACTTGCATTTTTTTTTTTTTTTTGAGACAGAGTCTCATTCTGTCACCCACGCTGGAGTAGAGTGGCTCGATCTTGGCTCACTGCAGCCTCTGCCTCCCAGGCACAAACAATTCTCCTACCTCAGCCTCCGGAGTAGCTGGGATTACAGGCACCCGCCACCATGCCTGGCAAATTTTTGTATTTTCAGTAGAAATGGGGTTTCACCATGTTGGCCAGGCTGATCTCCAACTCCTGACCTCAGGTGATCCACCCGCCTCGGCCTCCCAAAGTGCTGGGATTATAGGTGAGAGCCACCAAACCCCACCAACTTGCATTTTTGACAGAATTATATTTCTATTAAAGAGCACCATGGATGCAGCTGGAAACCATCATCCTCAGCAAACTATCACAAGAACAGAAAACCAAATACTGCATGTTCTCACTCATAGGTGGGAATTGAACAATAAGATCACCTGGACACAGGAAGGGGAACATCACATACCAGGTCCTATTGTGGGGAGGGGGGAGGGGGGAGGGATAGCATTAGGTAATATACCTAATGTAAATGACAAGTTAATGGGTGCAGCAAACCAACATGGCTCATGTATACATATGTAACAAACCTGTACATGTACCCTAGAACTTAAAGTATAAAAAAAAAAAAAAAAGACACACACACAAAAAAAGAGCACCGATTTAGAACACTGAACAATAATACCATAGTCAATGTAAATATACAATCTCCCTGTAAATTAATGAATTGACACCTTGGTTTAGAAATCTGACTTTGGTGAATTTCTTGGCACAAGTCTGTCCCTCATATATTGATCGATTTTTGTATTTACAAACTCAAATACATATTCTCCTTCCATAGCCCTGCAAAATGAAGGATCAAGCCTTCACTGAAGTGAGCAAATCAAAGTTTTGGCATCTTCTGAGCTTTCTAGGCACAAGCTGTCAGTTCAGCCATTTCTCTGCCTGCAATTTCGCTCTTGGTTTATAATCTTGGGTTCAGGCTGTGTTTTTCAAGAGGTAGAGTTGGTAGCATTCATCTTTGTTTTCCTATCACTTATGTTCCTTAAACAAAGGATTTTTAAAATTTGTTAAATATTCTACATTTTATGCCTTTGATCATAGCTATAAGACTGCTTGCCTTGAAAAGGATTTGTACATAATTCTCCATGGTTTTTTTCTTAATATGTTAATTACAAACTGCTTATAAAAATTGAGTACATAAAGACCTGAAAGACAGCAGTTATTTACAGTCATGTAAAGCAAAAATGGCAAGTGACATCTAATTAATAGCTAATAACCTAATAATATGGAGTGGAAGCTTGATAACTATTACAGCACACTGTATTTTATTATCAAGGACAGAGCCTTAGAGACAGACCACAGAATTGATATTTCATCATTATGCGATGGCCTACATTATATGACCTCTTATTTGTCCCTCAACTCCAATAGCAACCTCAAGGCTGATATAGAATAGCAGTGGAAAGGAAAATAGATGACACAAAAAGAAAAGTAGGTTTGTCATGGGACCAGTGTAGTGCTTTGGCCTCATAGCAGAGACCAGATGGTAGTAGCTCCTCTCTCAGCAAGTAGCTCCTCAATGTCCTACGGGTTGTAAACAACAAATTCACATTGTCTTCACCTGCTAATAATTATTTTTTTAAATACTGTGGCAACATCAAAACAATACTGAAAATACAATCCCTCAATATAAGAAGAAAAAAAAATTTCCTAAATATTTAGTCCGTCGAAAGAAAAAGTCTTTTCTGAGAAATGCTATTACCCAGTAGAAAATCTTGGCTTCTTAAAATCCAAGAATATTCTCATCTCTTTTTTGTTTGTTTGTTTTCTGAGACAGAGTCTCACTCAGTCGCCCAGGCCTGAGTGCAGTGGCACGATCTTGGTTCACTGTAACCTCCACCTCCCAGGTGCAAGCGATTCTTCTGCCTCAGCCTCCTGTGCAGCTGGGACTACAGGCACGTGCCACCACGCCCGGCTAATTTTTGTATTTTTTAGTGGAGACGGGGTTTGACCATATTGGCCGGGCTGCTCTCCAACTCCTGACCTTCTGATCCACCCGCCTCAGCCTCCCGAAGTATTGGGATTACAGGCGTGAGCCACAGCGCTAGGCCTGTTATTTTTAAATAAAGTAAATGGCCCTCATTTTACGCAATTTTGTGACTTTGTAAAAGCCAGTGAAAATGCCTGAGAAACTACTGACATTAGTTTTACTGCAGTTAAATATTTGCTAACTTTGCCGGGCGCCGTGGCCCCTGCCTGTAGTCCCAGCTACTTGGGAAGCTGAGGCAGGAGATGGCTTCAGCCCAGGAGTTCTGGGCCGTAGTGTGCTATACCAATCGCGTGTCCACACTAAGTTCGGCATCAATATAGTGACCTCCCAGGAACAGGGGACCACGAGGTTGCCTAAGGGAGGGGTGAACTGGCCAAGATTGGAAACGGAGCAGGTCAAAACTCCCCTGCGGATCAGTAGCAGGATCGTGCCTGTGAATAGCCACTGCACTCCAGCCTGGGTAACAGACCCTGTCTCTTTCTCTAGATAGAGAGATGATAGATAGATGATTGATTGATTGAGCATATATATATGCTAATTCTATAGAAACATGTAACTGTCCTTTGACGTTTTAATAAAAACTGTGTATACAAGATTTCAAATTTAATTATTCTCTTCTTCCATAGCATCAAGGACACCTTTCGGTTGCACTAGAAAAACTGAAGCAAATATTCTCTAAAAGGTGACTGATTCCAATAAAACGTATAATTTTTGTACGTTTAGTAGAGACGGGGTTTCATCACGTGGTGGCACGCACCTGTAGTCCCAGCGACTCTGGAGACTGAGGCAGGAGAATCGCTTGAACTCAGGAGGCAGAGGTTGCAATGAGCCGAAATCGTGCCACTGCACTCCAGCCTGGCAACAGAGCGAGACTCCGTCTCAAAAAAAAAAAAAAAAAAAGTATAATTTGATGACAGTTTTCTTCAATAGTTTAAGACACTTCTAACAAACTATAATTTAGTCGTCCTAATTAACAGAAGAAAAATGTTGGCCGGGCGCGGTGGCTCAAGCCTGTAATCCCAGCACTTTGGGAGGCCGAGACGGGCGGATCACGAGGTCAGGAGATCGAGACCATCCTGGCTAACACGGTGAAACCCCGTCTCTATTAAGAAATACAAAAAACTAGCCAGGCGAGGTGGCGGGCGCCTGTAGTCCCAGCTACTCGGGAGGCTGAGGCCGGAGAATGGCGTAAACCCGGGAGGCGGAGCTTGCAGTGAGCTGAGATCTGGCCACTACACTCCAGCCTGGGTGACAGAGCGAGACTCCGTCTCAAAAAAAAAAAAAAAAGAAAAATGTTAATACTCTCACACAGTGACCTCTACAAAGTTTCCCTCAATGGATCCATTCTTTCCTTCGGAAAGAGAGGAAAAAGATTCTACATATATATCTTAAAGCTCTTAATCACTTTACATGTGGGCTACATGTCATTTTTCAACGGTTTCCCTCTGGGTAGTTGGTTGCTCCAATATTTTCCAGAATTGATTCGTTCTTAGGTACCAACTTGACTGTTCAATTCAGCAATGCTGGCTTTAAAATAGAAGAAAAGGCCGGGCGCGGTGGCTCACGCCTGTAATCCCAGCGCTTTGGGAGGCCAAGGCGGGCGGATGATGAGGTCAGGAGACTGAGACCATCCTGGCTAACACGGTAAAATCCCGTCTCCACCAAACATACAAAAAATTAGCCGGGCGAGGTGAGGGGCGCCTGTAGCCCCAGCTACTCGGGAGGCTGAGGCGGGAGAATGCCGTGAACCCAGGAGGCGGAGTTTGCAGTGAGCCGAGATGGCGCCACTGCACTCCAGCCTGGGCGACAGAGCAAGACTACGTCTCACAAAATAAATAAATAAATAATAAAATAAAATAGAAGAAAAATAGAAGTAGAAACAACGTGGAATAGTAGGCTAGCCCCTGGGGACAAGAAGAGAAGTCCCCTTAGCAGAGGTCATCTAAGTGCAAACTTGAACCAGACTGTGCACAAACAAGTGACAGAAGCAAAAGTGGCCTCAGCTGCAAACGCAGCACTTCATAAACCACACACATGATCAGCCCTCATTTCCACCTTAGAGAACTTGAAAACTTACCTAACTCCACCATTTATAGCTGCTGAGCAGGTGGATGATATTCGTCAATGTGGGGTTTAGAATAATGCAATACTTGAAATAAAATTAGAAAGAAAATAAGGCCAGGCACGGTGGCTCACGCCTGGAACCCCAGCACTTTGGGAGGCCGAGCAGGAGGATCGCTTGAGCTCGAGAGTTCGAGATCAACCTGGGCAACAGAACAAGACTCCATGTGTATTTAAAAACAAAAAAAAAATTAAGAAAACAAAACCTTTGTTAATCGTTAAGTAAGGATTACAAAATGGAAAAGACAGGAAAGAAAAGGAAGGTCCTAAAGACCTGACCCACGAGTTTCAGTCCAAGTAAGCTGGACCTGCCCAGAGGAAGAGAAGCGGAAGTAAGATCCAAAGCGCTTTCCCCAGGCCTCCCGCGCTCCGCGCATGCGCAGATCTCTGACTTTGACCGCTTTGGAGGGCGCTAGCCAGCCATAGGTTATCTAGAGGCGGAGGACCGGCCGGGATCACGTGACCGGGCTTGCGGCATTTCTGGCCCAATCCAAGACGGTTTCGGAAAGCGCTCTGTAGAGCAATTCGGGTTGCCGGGATCCTTTCCGAGTCTTGACCTCCACTATTGCTTCTGGCTTTTCGACTCTGTTCTTGAATCTAAAAATTTGCCTTCGCAGAAATTGTTGCCTGTGTTCCAGGAATTACATTACAGACACACTCTAAAGTGATCAGCACTTTTTTTTTCCCTCCATCGACTAAAATAACATTGCTCTCTCCGCAAGACGCTCGAATTCTATTCTATTGCTTGAGATTCCAGAATCGCTGGAGGGCGCCCTGTTATAAACATAGCACTCCTGGCCGGCGCGGTGGCTCAAGCCTGTAATCTCAGCACTTTGGGAGGCCGAGACGGGTGGATCACGAGGTCAGAAGATCGAGACCATCCTGGCGAACACGGTGAAACCCCGTCTCTACTAAAAAATACAAAAAACTAGCCGGGCGAGATGGCGGGCGCCTGTAGTCCCAGTTACTTGGGAGGCTGAGGCAGGAGAATGGCGTCAACCCGGGAGGCGGAGCTTGCAGTGAGCTGAGATCCGGCCACTGCACTCCAGCCCGGGCTACAGAGCGAGACTCCGTCTCAAAAAAAAAAAAAAAAAAAAAAAAAATAGCACTCCCCCAGAAAAGAGAAGTTTTATCTGTATCTCAGGGGTTGAGGATTGGAGAAATAAAGATGAAAAATTTTTAAAGGCAAGTGTCCCCTAGGACGATGACAGATAACGTACCTGGAAACGTACCCCCAAAGGTCACTTTGTCAGTTTAAGCATTTAAAATCTCCCAATCTGTCTATTCAAGCCCATCAAAAATCTGAAGTAGTGATGTGAGATAACATGTGGTTGGCCCAACCCAGTGGAGTGTGACGGGGAAACAGAGCTTAGAGGAATTTAATCTTAAAACTGGAGTCCTTTCCTCATTTCCCTGAAATAAAGGGAATTGGGTAAAAAGCAAAATGGATGAGGCTGAGTTCTAGAGCTCTAATCCTTCACGTACTGAATGCTACAGCCCAGGAAGCCTAGCAGTGGTTCATGTCACATACCCCCAATATACATGGCTTGGTAAAAATACTTGTTGGCAGGCCGGGCACGGTGGCTCACGCCTGTAATCCTATCACTTTGGGAGGCTGAGGCGGGCGGATCACAAGGTCAGGAGTTCGAGATCAGCCTGGCCAACATGGTGAAACCCCATCTCTACTAAAAATACAAAAATTAGCTGGGCATGGTGGCACGCGCCTGTAATCCCAGCTACTCAGGAGGCTGAGGCAGGAGAATCATTTGGACCAGGAAGGCGGAGGTTGCAGTGAGCCGAGATCGTGCCACTGCATTCCAGCCTGGGCGACAGAGTAAGAAAGACTCTGTCTCCAAAAAAAGGAAAAAAAAAATGTGTTGGTAAAATTATCCAATTTACTGAAAAAATTTCTCACCCGTAATCCTTTTCAGAAAGATTTAACTAATTCCCCACAGATAATAAATCCTCCGCACTCCAAAATTGAGTTCGTTTTTAACTCAGCATATTCTCAGAAAAGTGGCCGGTGGTAGAGCAGAGTGCAACACAGCTCAAAGCGCTGAACTCACAGGAGCTTCGCTGCAGACTTGCAGTGACAGTGACTGCTGCTTCCCTTAGTTTCCTCTGGTGCTGCTGCCATTGGTTCTCTAGTAGTTTCAACTTCAGTTCCTTCCATTACACTTACAGATTCTTCTACGGACCCCAGAATGCTGCAGTCACAGCTCTCTATATAAATGGCTTTGAAAGCCACTGACTACACTGTTGGTGTCTACTTAGTGCCAAGAGAAACGGACTCTGGGAGAAAATCCCTCCAAGTGGGAGAAACCCTGTAGCCCCTGTGAGCTAATTCTGGGGAGTGACTCTAGCCAGGAAAAGTCACAACCAAAGCGGAAAACAGACTGTAGCCTTCGTCATCAGCAAGATGGTGCAGTTTATTTAATAGAAAAATTATCAATATGCTGCCATAAAAAACATTTTTTAAAAAATTTTTTAATAGGAGGCCGGTCATGGTGGCTCACGCCTGTAATCCCAGCACTTTGGGAGGCCGAGGTGGGTGGATCACCTGAGGTCAGGACTTTGAGACCAGCCTGGTCGACAAAGTGAAATCCCATCTCTACTAAAAATACAGAAAATTAGCTGGGCGAGGTGGCAGGCGCCTTGTAATCCCAGCCACTCTGGAGGCTGAGGCAGGAGAATCGCTTGAACCCGAGAGGCAGAGGTTGCAGTAAGCCGAGATCGCGCCATTGCACTCTAGCCTGGGCAACAAGAGTCAAACTCAGTCTAAAAAAATAAAAATAAAAATAAATAAAAATAATAATAATAGGGAGAAGTTTACAGTGTCAAAGTTACTTCTTGAAGCTACAACAGGTAGTTTTCACTAGAGCTATATGCCTATTTGGTGGCTTGTGTCAGTATTAACCATTAACATGGATGTGTCCATATTATAAGTGACCAAGTCCAAACAAAAATTTGAATTATTTGTAAATATTCATAAAGTTAGAAAACGTCATACCTGCTTCTGATGCTTTATTAACCCGGGTTTTTTAGTATTTATTTATTTATTTATTTATTTAAGACGGAGTCTTGCTATGTTGCCCAGGCTGAAGTACAGTGGCAGTCTTGGCTCACTGCAACCTCTGCCTGCTGGGTTCAAACGATTCTCCTGCCTCAGCCTCTGGAGTAGCTGGGATTACAGGTGAGCCCCACCACGCCTGGCTAATATTTGTATTTTTGGTAGAGACGAGCATTCGCCATGTTGGCCAGGCTGGTCTGGAACTCCTAACCTCAGGTGATCTGCCCACCTCCGCCTCCCAAAGTCCTGAGATTACAGGCCTCAGCCACCGCACCTGGCCCCAGGGTATTATGGGATAACCCTACTTCAGGGTCTTACTATCCAAAAATGTGACTAGAATTATATGAAATAAAGTATTTTAGGTTAGGTGTGGTGGCTCACCCCCATAATCCCAGCACTTTAGGAGGCCGAGACGGTCAGGTCTCTTCAGGAAAGGAGTTCGAGACCAGCCTAGGCAACATGGTAAGACCCCACGTCTACTAAAAATAAAAATTAAAAAAAGCCAGGTGGGGCATAGCGGCACGTGTCTGTAATCCCAGCTACTCAGGAGGCTGAGGCAAGAGAATCCCTTGAACCCTGGAGGCAGAGGTTGCAGTGAGCCAAGACCGTGCCACTGCACTCCAGCCTGCCTGACAGAGCAAGACTAGTCTCAAAAAAAAAAAAACAATTCTCCTGGAGATCAACTCATTTTGTAATTTCCATTGTGTGGTGTAACCATTCTCCTTCAAGTTAAGGTTAGTAATACAAGCAACTACCTCAGGTGGAAGTACCCATGCCAGGTTCTCAAATCTTAGGCTGAATTAGTACATGAAAAAGGCATGCAGTAATAGAATTCTATAATTAAGCAACAGCTGCAGAATATCATTGCATCCAGTACTAGAAACAAGAGAGGGGAAATTTTCAGCAACTGAAAGCATGTCACATTCCAAAGCCTCTCTTTAAAATATAGAACAAACTATATATATAGCATATAACCCTATTAGTATATAATAAAAATGTATATATATTATTTTTTTTTTTTGAGAACGGAGTCTCAGCGAGACTACATTAGATACAGACCAGGCTAGGAGATAGCAGATAGCGGAACCAGATCTCAGACTCACTGACAGCTCCGCCATCCTGGATATTACATAAGCCATATCATCAACTGCACAAGGACTGCCGTAGCCGGGATTACGGACACCCGCACCAAATCAGCTGAGCTTTTTTGTATTATTAGTAGAAGACAGGGTTTCACTGTGTTTAGCCAGGATGCTCAGATTCTTCCTGACCTCATGATCCGCCCGTCTCGGCCTCCCAAAGTGCTGGGATTACAGGCTTGAGCCACCGCGCCCGGCCTGAACAAACTATATTTAAAGGTGTCTTCAATCACACTCTCTCACTGAATTGCTTCATTATCTAACAACTTCATCAAAAACTTTGTGTGGTTCTGCCATTCTCTGTAACCAAGAGGTGAAAGGCTTTGAATTTTTTAAAGACAATAATACCTGCAAAAAAAATATTAATTTCAGTAAATAATACCCTTAGTTGAAAATACTTCAATATTTTCCATCTCTCAGGAAGCAGAGTTCAATAATTAAAATACCTTTTCAATATTAAACTGTAAAGCAATCATGAAAACATTATTATACTTGTGCCTTGACTATAAAATTCCAGTTGTCTAAATATGAAACATTTTAAAAATCACCATAGTGAAACCAAAAAAAAAAGAGAGAGCAGAAAAAACAGTTTCAAGTTTGATTTTGCTCTAATAAACATTTAAGTATTATGTATATTTCCATTTATATTATCAAGATTCAGAAGATAAACATGCAGTATAATTGGAGAACTTTGGATTCATTTTAGAAAATACTATTGATATACAATAGTCTTTAATCACTTTAATAAACCACAGATAATGCAAGTATAGGTAATAAACTTATTACTTCAAATCAAACTGCAAAAAGTACTGGTTCAGTTTGTAACCCCAAAAGGAAAATTAAGAGAATCCAGATTTTTCTTCTGCCTTTTGGAAAAGAAGTTAATAAAGAAGGCCAGGTGTGGTGGCTCACACCTGTAATCCCAACACTTTGGAAGACTGAGGCCAGTGGATCACCTAAGGTCAGGGAGTTCGAGACCAGCCTGACCAAAAAGGCGAAACCCCATCTCTACTAAAAATACACAATTAGCTGGGCATGGTAGCACATGCCTGTAATCCCAACTACTCAGGAGGCTGAGGCAGGAGAATCTCTTGAACCCAGGAAGCGGAAGGTGCAGCGAGCCAACGATGGCGCCATTGCACTCCAGCCTGGGCAATGAGAGTGAAACTCTGTCTCAAAAAAAAAAAAAAAAAGTTAATAAAGAAGATGATGAGTTAAACTATTTAATTGTAATGCCAGCTGGGAGCAGTGGCTCATGCCTGTAATCCCAGCACTTTGGGAGGCGAGGCAGGCGGATCATGAGGTCAGGAGATCGAGACCATCTTGGCCAACACGGTAAAACCCTGTCTCTACTAAAATACAAAAAAATTAGCCAGGCGTAGTGGCACATGCCTGGAGTCCCAGCTACTCAGGAGGCTAAGGCAGGGGAATCGCTTGAACCCGGAAGGCAGAGGTTGCAGTGAGTCGAGATCGCGCCATTGCACTCCAGCCTGGGTGACAGAGCAAGATTCCGTCTCAAAAAATAAATAAATAAATTGTAATGCCTTATATCACATTCGAGGTATTATAATGAGTTAACTTTCAAGCTGTTAGTTTTTAAAAAGACCTTCAAAGCCACTAATGGGTATTGTTGAAAAGTGAATGTTATACACTGAAACTAATCATTATAACAAATCTTCAAATTATTTGAAGCAATTCAGTTTTAAACTTTAAGTTACAACAGTCACAGAAAAAAAACAGGGAACAGTCAGAAACAATAAAAGAATAATCAGGGAGTACTGCAAAATTTTTTGTTTGTTTTTAACACTGTCATGGCTTTATTCAAAACACAGTTGCACAAAAGTATTAACTTCAAAGGTTTTAAGGAGATTCTGAGGAACTTAACACACGATATACATACTGCCATACAAAGAGCATTAAAATAGGACCGAAAACTTCTACAAAATATAAAACCCACCCTTACTTATTTGCATGAAAATACCACCCACAAAGCTAAATAAGTCTTAAAAGTTATCTGGAGGCTCTAAGTGTTGTTTTCCAAACCAAAGTACTCTAATTTTGATTGCACAGTAAGAGATTGATAAGAAATCAATATATAGATTTCATTTTAAAAATAAGTATTTTGTAATCTGGCATAGTATGTAACGAGAATTGTTAGGAACTAAAAATAGGGAACTTCAATTTTTAAAAGCAGAAGAAAAATGTAGTTTCTTGGGGATTCCAATCCCCTCACTAAACTTATCCCAAGTATTTTATTTCAGTTCAGTTGTGTGAACTTTTTTAGTTTCTCCACAAGTAACATCATAATTTTACCTAAAAAACACCAAGTCATACATTTTACATTGTAGAAGCAGTAGCAGCAGTACTATACTCAGTATTTAAATATGTCCCAGTATAGAAGCATAACTTCAATTAATTTGCTGACACTAATTTTTTAAAAACTTACAAATATTCAAAACAAAGGGAAAAAGTTTTAGATAGCCAAGATTTAAAAAGCCATTGCTTTGAACATGGAGCCTCAATAGCAAAAGAGGAGATATACTTGTATACTCATTTTATTTAGTAGCCATGTGAGGAAACACACACTTATCCCAAATATTTTTCTACTTTGAATAGACATCCAGTTGAAAACAAATCTTAATTTTAATGTCGATTTAGTTTCAAATACTTTTCCAGCTGCCTAGTACATTCCAATTAATGCTATTATTATATCTGGTAATGCTTCAAAACTGGGAATTAAAGGTTAGAAATACTTTGCAGAGTGGTATCCAAATCATTTGAGAAGCCAACTTTAAAATTTGACTTTAATGTCTTATTAATTATCAACAGGCAATTGTTCTGACTTTTAAGAAACATGAACACTGCTTCCAAAAAGCACCCCTACTTTTCTTTCTTCATCCTACTAATATTGTCTTAGATGTTGTGAACCAAGAAACTTTTATGGTAAGCAGAGCTTACTGCATAAAACTGTATTGATAATATATTCTTATGTCAGAAAATACTCAATTTCTTCCACTTCATTTATTTAAAACCCAGACAGGACTAAAAGGTAGTTGAGGTATAAGACTAAAGGTTTTCCTGGGTTTCACAAGTTTCCCAACTGTCTTTTGAGAGAGCAGGAGGGAGTGAAACAAGAAGGGAAGGTGATCATAAAGGAATTGCTAAGAAGAAAAAGAATGCGCACCTAAAAACAAAACAAAATAAACAACCATCGGCATGTCATGATTTGCAGCCTGACAAAAGGGCTCACCTGCATGTCTCTGGACTTAGTATAAGCAATTTTTTCCTTCAAAAATAAAATCTTATCAGTCACCACTAAATCCATGAACCCTATTACTGAATAGAACCTCCACAAAATCCATGAACTATGTTGCTGAATAGAACCTTTACTATTCTGCTTCTATTTTCCAAGTTACTTGTGACAAAAAAGCAACCACTCTTAGTCAAAAAAAAAAAAGTAACTGCCTTCAAACTAAAGATCCCTGGATTACCTCTAAAAGAATAACCAACTTACCACTCAAGAGACTACTGTCATTTTATATTATAGCAAACTGTAATTTCAGTTAATTTATAAATAAGGAATGAAATGCACCATACTACACCTGTGTAAAAGTGATGTTTTAATTATGGGCTAAAAATGACTAATACAGTAAGCTTGAATTTAAAAAATTAAGTCTAAATAAATTGCTAGGGAATTCCACAATGGGAGTCAATGAAAATTTTTCTCTACATACAATATGATCATTAACAGACTAGTTCTTATTTGGAATGATAAGGCAAAAATAGTAAAACCACACTTTTCCTATAAAAAGTTACACATTATCTTCTGTAGGGATAGCTATCGTACATGAAGAAACAAAGATGTGATCACTCTATTGCACACCCAGAAACATTAGAGAGTCTGGTCTTAGAATGATCTAGTCATCTTCCTCTCCATCATCTTCAGCATCTCGTTTCCTCTTCTCCCCTCGAAGACCTTCTTCTTCTTAATGAGTGGAAGGAAAAATGCAAAATGCTTAATTTTAACAAATAAGGATTGGTTACATTACAAAGTTTTGAATCTTAGTGAAAAGTTAATGGCAGGGCCTAGCACGGTGGCTCACACTTGTAATCCCAGCACTTTGGGAGGCCGAGGTGAGTGGATCACTTGAGGCTTGGCCAACAAGGTGAAACCCCATCTCTACTAAAAATGCAAAAAATTAGCCAGGCGTGATGGCGGGTGCCTATAATCCCAGCTACTGGAGAGGCTGAGGAAGAATTGCATGAACCTGGAAGGCGGAGGTTCCAGTGAGCCAAGATCGCGCCACTGCACTCCAGCCTGGGCAACCGCCCAAAACTTTGTCTCAAAAAAAAAAAAAGAAAAAAAAAAAAACATTAATGGCAGAAGAAAATTGGCCAGGCAAGGTGGCTCACACCAGTAATCCCAATACTTTGGGAGGCCGAGCCAGGCGGATCACTTCAGGTCAGGAGTTGGAGACCAGCCTGGCCAATAGGGTGAAACTCCCATCTCTACTAAAAATATAAAAATTAGCTGGGTGTGGTGCAGGCACCTGTAGTTCCAGCCACTTGGGAGGCTGGGGCAGGAGAATCGTTTGAACCCGGGAGGCAGAGGCTGCAATTAGCCAAGACTATGCCACTGCACTCCAGTCTGGGCGACAGAGGGAGACTGTCTCAAAGGAGGGAGGGAGGGCAGGTGAAGAGAGGACGAGAAGGAGGGAGGGAGGGAGGGAGGAAAGGAAGGTGGTAGGAAGGAAGGGAGGAAGGGAGGGAGGGAAGGAAGGAAATTATAATTCAAGTTTCCTCTTTGAATTTCTTTAAATTTGAGTAGGTTGAAAACAGACTTAACAGGCTTAGAAATCCCTAATCATTACAGTTTGCTATGCACCCTTGTGGCCATATCATGAAGTACAGATTAAGAAACTAAGGGCTTGACATCAATGCAAGTGTTAGTAAATTTTAAAAATTATTTTGAGGCTGAGTGCAGTGGTTCACATCTATAATCCTAGCACTTTGGGAGGCCAAGGCAAGAGGATCAGTTGGGCCCAGGAGTTCAAGACCAGCCCGGGTAACAGTGAGACCCCATCTATACAAAAAATACAAACATTAGCAAGGTGTGGTGGTGCGCACCTATAGTCTCAGCTACTTTGGAAGAGGCTGAGGTGGGAGGACTGCTTAAGCCTGGGAAGTCGAGGCTGCAGTGAGCTATGAATGCCCCACTGCACTCACTGCTGACAGAGACCCTGTCTCAAAACAATAAAATAAAATAAAATAAAATAATAAAATAAAATAAAATAAAACAAAAATACTGGTTGGCCATGGTGGCTCACATCTACAATCCCAGCACTTTGGGAGGCTGGGGTGGGCAGATCGCTTGAACCCAGAGTTCAACACAGCCTGGGCAATATGGCGAAACCCCATCTCTCCAAAAAAAAAAAACAAAAATTAGCCAGGTGTGACAGTGTGTGCCTGTAGTCCCAGCTACTTGGGAGGCTGAGATGGGGGGATCACCTGAGCCCAAGAAGATTGAGACTGCAGTGAGCTGCGATTGCACCACTGCACTCCAGCCTCCAGCCTGGGTAACAAAGTAAGATTCTGTTTAAAAATATATATATATTTATGTATATATATCTTACATATATATATTTATATATATACACATATATATAAATTTTTAAAGGCCTAGAAAACAAATCTAAAAACAGCATTAATTATCTGGAGTTCAACTGCTCCTCTCTTGTAAGATAAGGCTTCACTCTCTCTAAAATGACACTCTATAAAAATAATAAATTCAGCTCAAGGTTCCATTCATCTCTTCATTTATTTTTAAAATAAATGTTATAAGCTGTTTATTTATGAGTTATGAATTAATGAGTGCCCTAAGACAACTACTCTTAAGAAAAAAAAACTTTTATAACTTTGAAGGCACTCTATGATAAAGCAAAATCGAAGGGATCAGTAAAAATTTACATTATAGGCTCATTCTTTAAAGTGTATGAAATATAAATAAAGTGTATAAAAAATAACTATGTCTTTAATTTTAGAATTTGTTTATGGTTAATGTAACTCACCCTCCTCTTCCTCTTCTTCCCCTTCTTCAACATAGTCATCATCATCTTCTTCATCCTTGAAATTCAAATATTCAGTTGAGAATTAAAAAATCATAAGGATTTTTCACTCTTTCTTGTAATATATTCCAACAAGAGCAAAGAAACTTGGTTATTCTGTGTTTTGATAACCTCTGCCATTCTTATAAAGGTCCTTTTTAAAACCTAACTAAAGACCCAGGTGTGGTGGCTCATGCCTGTAATCGTAGCACTTTGGGAGGCCGAGGAGGGCAGATGACCCGAGGTCAAGAGTTCAAGACCAGCGTGGCCAACATGGTGAAACCCCATCTCTACTAAAAATACAAAAATTAGCCAGGTATGGTGGCAGGCGCCTGTAATCCCAGCTACTCAGGAGGTTGATACAGAAGAACCGCATGAACCTGGCAGGCGGAGGTTGCAGTGAGCTGAGATCACGCCATTGCACTGTCAGCCTGGTACACAAGAGCTGAGGCTTCATCTCAAAAAAAAAATTCTAACTAAATCTCTAGGTTATTTTTTTCTCTTTTCCTTTTTTTTTTTTTTTTTTTGAAATGGAGTTTCGCTCTTGTTGCCCAGGCTTAAGTGCAATGGCATGACCTCGGCTCACGGCAAACTCCGCCTCCCAGGTTCAAGCGATTCTCCTGCCTTGGCCTCCCGAGTAGCTGGGATTACAGGCATGCGCCACCACGCCCGGTTAATTTTGTATTTTTAGTGGAGACGGGGTTTCTCCATGTTGGTCAGGCTGGTCTCAAACTCCCAACCTCAGGTGATCTGCCTGCCTCAGCCTCCCCAAATGCTGGGATTACAGGTGTGAGCCACCACACCCGGCCAACTGCCTAATTCTTGTATCAGAAATCATTCTTATACAATCAGTTGAAACAAAGCATCTCCATACCAGAATACCAGTAAGCTATAAGGAGTAAAAGGAATAGATGAGATAGCAAAAAGCGTAAAAAAAGAACACAATGAAAATCAGGAAAAACTGCAGACTAAACTGAAGAAGGAAAGACAAGAAAAAAAGGGGAAGACTGAATGTGGCTTTTGTTACAGAATTTGTTCATTAAAAAAAGAAGAGGTGGGGCCAGGTGCAGCGGCTCACCTATAATCCCAGCACTTTGGGAGGCTGAGGTGGGCAGATCACCTGAGGTCAGGAGTTCAAGACCACCCTGGCCAACACAGTGAAACCCTGTCTCTACTAAAAATACAAAAAATTAGCCGGTGTAGTGGCAGGCACCTGTAATCCCAGCTACTCAGGAGGGTGAGGCAGGAGAATCGCTTGAACCCAGGAGGCAGAGGTGGCAGTGAACCGAGATCGCGCCATTGCACTCCAGCCTGGGCAACAAGAGCAAAACTCCATCTCAAAAAAGAAAAAAAAAAAAGAACACTTAAATTTCTGTTCTTCATTATATATATAGCTCCTAACCCACCAAGACCCCAAACGAATATAAATCCTGTTTTTTCCATACTGGTTTCATCAGAAAATATGTATCATTGATTGTTGATATTATGTATCTAACCAATGCAAAACTCATTAGAACAAATATTAACAATTCCCAGTCTAAATAAGATATGTTATTTTTAATAATAAAAAATACTTTATGAGTTTTTCAAATAAACTTCAATTTAACATTAGGAGAAAATAACTAACCTAAACTCCTAGGGGCTACAGATAACTTGTTCTAGTCAACTGACATTTCCCATGAGCCTACCATGGGCTAGTCAGTGTACTAGATGCTGAGATCCAAAGGTGAGTGGCACTCCCCTTAAGGAGCTCACCACTTAGCAGAAAGTGGCCAAATGATTTTACCAGTGTCTCTAGGCAATAGAAGCCTGATCATGATTCAGAGGTAACACATGGAGGAGTGACTGCCTAAGAAAAAATATAGAAAGCTCCAGTGATGAGTCAACTGCAGAGTTGGGTTTGTAAAGATAAGAGTTCACAAAGCATGATTTGGGTGGTGGTTACACAAGTACATGCATATGTAAAATTCCATGGAGTTGTAAATAAAATCAGTGCACTTCACAAGCTTCACTAGGCAAAAAACAAAAAGTTCATCAGAGGCTCATTTCAGAAAGCATGAACAACGTATTCATAAACAGCCATAAAGGTAAAATAGCTTGGTGTGATCATTTAATTTGGAATCAAGGGAGATGAAGCTAGAGAAGGAAGCAGGGGCCAAGCATGGTGGCTCACACCTGTAATCCCAGCACTGTGGGATGCCAAGGTGGGCGGACCATTTGAGGTCAGGAGTTCAAGACCAGCCTGGCCAACATGGTGAAACCCTGTCCCTACAAAAAATACAAAAATTAGCCAGGCGTGGTGGCGTGTGCCTGTAGTCCCAGCTACTTGGGAAGCTGAGGTCAGAGGACTGCTTGAGCCTGGGAGGCAGAGGTTGCAGTGAGTCAAGATCGCACCACTGCACTCCAGCCTGGGCAAGAGTGAGACTGTGTCAAAAAAAAAAAAAAAAAGAAGAAGAAGAAGGAGCAAAGGCCAGAAATGAAAGGCCTTGTATGTCTTGGGGGCAAGAGGGAAACATTAAAGGGTTTCAAGAAGACTGGTGTATAATCACATTTGCATTAGATTAAACAGGCAGCACTGTGGAGAATACTCCTAAGTGGTGATGCTGTATTCAGAGAGACTATAAAGTTACTACAGAAGTATAAGCAAGAGATAATTAGGAGAAAGAAACTTAAGTTTTCTTGAGTGCCTATAATGTGCCAGGGACTGTATTCTTTACATAGATTATCTTGTTAAATCCTTAATCCTATGAGATTGATATAACCTGGTTTTTTTGTTTTTTGTTTTGAGACAGAGTCTGGCTCTGTTGCCCGAGTTGGAGTGCAGTGGCGCGATCTCAGCTCACTATAATCTCTGCCTCCTGGGTTCAAGTGATTCTCTGGCCTCAGCCTCACGAGTAGCTGGGACTACAGATGTGTGCCAACATGCCGAGCTAATTTTTGTATTTTTGGTAGATATGGGGTTTCCCCACCCATGTTGGCCAGGCTGGTCTCAAACTCCTGACCTTGTCATCCACCCGCCTCGGCCTCCCAAAGTGCTGAGATTACAGGTGTGAGCCACCATGCCCGGCCTAATCTGTTTTATAAATGCAGAAAACTGAGGTTCACAGACATTTGTAAAATGTTTCCACCATACCATGCCATTGAGGCTATAACAGATTTGAAAGTTATCTGGGAGGTAAAATCAATAGGTGTTTATGATTACCTGGATATAGTTTGGGGTGGAGGACAATGAAAAAAAAGATAGGTGGATAGACATATATGCACACCCACAACTTAGAAACAACTGTCAGACTGCTACAAAACATACTTTATATAGTATTTGGTCCTATGCCTAGAAATTAATTTTCAGTGCAGATAAGAAGTGTGTATTCACCTGAATTTCTTCTTTCATTAAGTATGAGAGGCCCACTTCCTCTTCTCCCTCTCCCAACTCTGAACCTGCTTCATCTTCATCTTCATCTTCATCCTCATCCTCATCTTCCTCTTCCTCCTCCTCTTCCTCATATCCTTCTGGTGGACCAGCTTCATTTTCCTCTTCCTCTTCATCATCTTCATCTCCATCTTTAAAAAATCATTTAAAGATGAGTAAATTGACTGAGCAAATGTTTCTTCCTAGGATGTTGATGCTTTTTACCCTTGTCCAATCACTTCAAACTTGTAAGCCGATAGGTGGAAAGTAACTCAGAGAGATTTTTTTTTTTTTTAAGATTTCTGTTTTACAACATTCCTAGTTATTCCTACAAACCATATGCGAGAAGTATGGCTTCTAAATACTAGTATCCAACATATATATAGAGTCTCATGAAAACATTGCATGCACTAAGGTTTGTTTTACTTTGTGAATACTTCAAAACTTGCTTGTGAGATGCTGGAGAGGCTGCAGAGAAAAGGGAATGCTTATACACTGTTGGTGGGAATATAAATTAGTTCAGCCACATGAAAAGCAGTTTGGAAATTTCTCAAAGAACTAAAAATACAACTACCATTCAACCCAGCAATCCCATTACTGGGTATATACCCAAAGGAAAGTAAATCATTGTACCAAAAAGACACATGCATTTGTATGCTCACCACAGCACTATTCACAATACCAAAGACATGGAACCAACCTAGGTGCCCATCAATGGCGGACTGGATAAAGAAAATGTAGAACATACACATGATGGAATACTACACAGCCATAAAGAAAGAATGAAATAATGTCCTTTGCAGCAACATAGATACAGCTGGGGGCCATCATCCTAAGTGAATTAATGCAGAAACAAAAAACTAAATACTGCATGTTCACACTTATAAGCAGGAGTTAGGCCGGGCGCGGTGGCTCAAGCCTGTAATCCCAGCACTTTGGGAGGCCGAGACGGGCGGATCACGAGGTCAGGAGATTGAGACCATCCTGGCTAACACGGTGAAACCCCGTCTCTACTAAAAAATACAAAAAACTAGCCGGGCGAAGTGGTGGGCGCCTGTGGTCCCAGCTACTCGGGAGGCTGAGGCAGGAGAATGGCGTGAACCCGGGAGGCGGAGCTTGCAGTGAGCTGAGATCCGGCCACCGCACTCCAGCCTGGGCGACAGAGCCAGACTCAGTCTCAAAAAAAAAAAAAAAAAAAAAAGCAGGAGTTAAACACTGGGGACACAGGGACATAAAGATGGGAACAGACACTAGAAACTTCAAAAGAGGGGAAGGAGGGTGGCTGAAGAACTAACTATTAGGCACTATGTTCACTATTTGGGTGACAGGATGAGTAGAAGACCAAACCTCAGCATCATGCAATACACCCATGGAACAAACTTGCACACGTACCCCCTTAATCTAAAATAAAATTTAAAAAAACCTGCTTATCTATCATTTCATCATTTTGTAACAGTGTTTATCCATCAAATTTCTTCTTACAATGAAGAAGTTTTCACTCAATAATAACGAGCAGTATCCCATTACTAACAGCTATTCTGTCATCTGATCTGTCATCCACTTTTTTAAAACTGTATACTCACAATCTAATTCTAGAATATTTTTCTTCCCTCAAAAAGAAATTCCATACCCATATGCAGTCACTCTCCCATTTTCCTCTCTCCCAGCATCGAGCAACCAATAATCTACTTTCTGTCTCAATGGATTTGCCTATCCTGAAGTTTCTGCCTATTCTGAACCATATATATATGGTTTTTTGTTGGGTTTTTTGTTTTGTTTTTGAGACAGAGTCTAACTCTGTCGCCCAGGCTACAGTGCAGTGACACGATCTCAGCTCACTGTAACCTCTGCCTCCCAGGTTCCAGCAATTCTCCTGCCTTGGCTTCCCATGAACTTTCCATATAAATGAAGTCAATCAATACGTGGCCTTTTGTGTCTCTCTTCTTTCACTTAGAAGAACATTTTCAAGATTCATTCATGTAGCATGCATCAGTACTTCATTCATATTTATGGTGGAATAATATTGTACTGTATAGATAAATCACATTTTTAAAATCTGTTCATTGGGCCGGGGCCCGGTGGTTCACGCTGGCTTTAATCCCAGCACTTTGGGAGGCCGAGGTGGGTGGCTCACGAGGTCAGCAGTTCGAGACCAGCCTGACCAACATGGTGAAACCCTGTCTCTACTAAAACTATAAAAAAATTAGCTGGGAGTGGTGGCGGGCACCTGTAATCCCAGCGACTTGGGAGGTCCAGGCAGGATAATTGCTTGAAAACGGAAGGCGGAGGTTGCAGTGAGCAGAGATTGCACCACTGCACTCTAGCCTGGGCAATAACAGCAAAACTCTGCCTCAAAACAAAAAAAAAAATTCCATTCATCAGTTGATAGACACTTCGGTTGTTTCTACTTTTTGGCTATTACAAGTGGTTCTTTTTTTAAAACAAAATACTATTTCAGAGGTTGCCACTTTTACTGGGTGTACAACTTTCTACAGATATAAAATTTCACAGAGCTTCATGTTATAATAGTCATTAAATTCCCTGAAACTATAGGAAATATAAAAGAAGAAATACTGGCTAGAGCTATGGGTTTTTAATTTTTTCTTGTCTTACTAATATCTTCTTGTGGATTTTTTTTTTCAAACCTAAATTTCCAGGCCCAATCTAATTTGCACAACTAGAGCAGAGGCTATAATAATGACACACTTATGAGTATTAAGAATGATTACCCTCATCATCCTCCTCTTCAGAGTCCGGTGCTTCATTATCCTCCTGATCAAATCCATCTAAGTATGTGATTTGCTGCAGCAGTTCAAAAATACTTTCTCTATAATCTTCCAGGTTTGTGATCTCACAGTTAAACAGGTCAAGACTTTTCAAATTTTTAAGATTTTGCTGGAAAAGTAAAGTTAAAACTTACATTCAAGATTTAAAATACCATGTTTTTTGTTTTGTTTTGTTTTTGTTTTTGAGACGGAGTCTAGCTCTGTTGCCAGCTGGAATTCAGTGCCATGATCTCCGCTCACTGCAACCTCCGCCTCCCGGGTTCAAGCGATTCTCTTGCCTCAGCCTCCCGAGTAGCTGGGACTACAGGCGTGCACCACCATGCCCAGCTAATTTTTGTGTTTTTGTTTTGTTTTGTTTTTTTGAGACAGACTTTTTGCTCTTGTTGCCCAGGCTGGAGTGCAATGGCATGATCTTCAGCTCACCACAACCTCCGCCTCCTGGGTTCAATTCTCCTGCCTCAGCCTCCCAAGTCGCTGGGATTACAGGCATGCGCCTCCACGCAGCTAATTTTGTATTTTTAGTAGAGACGGGGTTTCTCCACGTTGGTTGGGCTGGTCTCAAACTCCCGACCTCAGGTGATCTGCCCGCCTCGGCCTCCCAAAGTGCTAGGATTACAGGCGTGAGCCACCGCGCCCGGCCTAATTTTTGTATTTTTAGTAGGGATGGGGTTTTACCATGTTGGCCAGGGGATGGTCTCAATCTCCTGACCTCATGATCTGCCCACCTGGCCCTCCCAAAGGCTTGGGGGATTACAGGCGCAGAGCCACCGTTGCCCAACCACATCATTTCTTTTTAATTTATTGATTCAGAAAATATACATTTGAATTGAGAATGAATTTTTGTATTTTTTGAGTTTTATAATGAAAGGATTATTATATCAAGCACAGCCAGCTCACCTGGCTAATTTTTTTTAAATTTTTATTTGTAGAGACAGGGTCTCACTATGTTTTGCCCAGGTTGGTTCAAACTCCTGAACTCAAGCGATCCCTCCCACCTCTGCCTCCCAAAAGTGCTGGGATTACAGACATAAACCACTGTGCCCCAGCCTCCAATCTTTTCAAAATCAGAGCAATAATTTCAGCATGTCACTTTTTCTTTCTTTTCTTTTACTTTTTTTTTTTTTAGACGGAGTTTCGCTCTTGTTGCCCAGGCTGGAGTTGCAATGGTGCATCTGGCTCACGCCAAAACCCCCTCCCGGGTTCAAAGCGATTCCTCTCGCCTCGTGTCACTTTTCTTTTCCTTCCCTCATACCAGAAAAGAAAGGGGGCAAATAATTCAAATAACTCAAAAAAATAATTAAGAAGTTAAGAAAAAAGAAATAAAGGTTTAAAAAAAAAAACTTGGAAATTTTAAAACCAGATAGTCAACTCCTGAAGTTGATGAATAAAATAAATTTTCCTCATTGATTTAAAATTCATCTGAATATTTTAGTCTAAAAGAAACGAAATCAAGTAAAACTGCTAGATCATAACATACAAAAAATTCGTAGTTTTGAGTTAAAATAGAAATTAATAGACACAAACAAATCTCAGAAAATTTAACCAAAAAAAGCAAGTCCAGAGACAAAAACCGTTTCCACTTACCAGAGCTTCTACTGTACTGAGATCTTTTATTTTGTTTCCACTCAGATTGAGGTAGGTAAGATTTGGACATTCTCTGCCAGGACTTCCAAGCCTCCAGAAATTATGTTATCACTAAGCGTCCAACTATACATTCACATAGGAAGAAAACAAAGAATGGTAAAGGTACATATCAAGCTTTTTTTTTTTTAACGAAGTATGATCACTCTTGTTACTTAGGCTGGAGTGCAGTGTGCAATCTCCACTCACTGCAACCTCGCCCCTGCCGGGTTCAAGCAAATTCTCCTTGCCTTCAGCCTCCCAAGCAGCTGGGATTAACAGGCAACCCGCCACCACACCCAAGCTAGTTTATTGTATTTTTAGTAGAGATGGGGTTTCACCATGTTGGCCAGGCTGGTCTCGAACTCCTGACCTCAGGTGATCCACCCGCGTCAGCCTCCTAAAGTGCTGGGATTACAGGCGTGAGCCACCACACCTGGCATATCAAAGATTTTTAAAGTATATCAAAGATTTTTAAAGTATATCAATTTGAAGAAAAAAAAACTGTCATTCTCTCTGGCTTCAAGAAACTATCACTATAGATCATTAATTTCCAAATTCCTTTCTACATCTGCCAAATAATGTATTAGAACACCTACATAATGGGCTCTTAACCCAGCTTGGATTCTAGTTGTACTACATTTGGATTTCATGATGTAGAGAAAAATATTTGGTATATATTAAATACAAATTCATATTATAAGGCAATTCCACTATTAGATTTAAATTTCTAGGCCAGGCACAGAGGCTAACTCCTCTAATCCCAGCACTGTGGGAAGCTGAGGCAGGAGGATGACTGGAGCCCAGGAATTTGAAATCAGTCTGGACAACATGGTGAAACCCTGTCTCTGCAAAAAACACAAAAATTAGCCAGGTGTGGTGGCGCATGCCTGTAGCCTCAGCTACTTGGGAGGCTGAAGTGGGAGGATGCTTGAGCCCCAGAGGCAGAGGTTGCAATGAGCCAAGATCACACCACGGCACTCCAGCCTGGGTGACAGAGTAAGACCCTGTCTTAAAAATAAGTAAGTAAATAAATTTATAAAAGCAGTATTAGAGCTGATTCTCAAAATCCTATATAACTTTTTCTTATCTCTAGAAACTTAAAAACTTCTAATTAGCAAGCAGAATGGTATTCCATTTGGCCAAACACTAGACATAATAGCCATGACATTTAAATCATGATGCTTCACGTAAATGCCAACTTACTTTTCGAAGTTTATTTAAGCTGGGAAGCCGGGCCAGTGAACTTAGTTCCACATTAGCCATACTCAGAAATTCTAGTTCTTTGAAAGTATCATTCAGGCCTTCAATTTCCCCATTTACACACAGGCAATTATCAAGGACTAACTCTGTCACCTGTAAGAGGGAAAACATTAATTAATGATTCTTTAGTCTGTAATCTGTTTAGGTAGAGACCTGGGTCTTGACACTCTGGAAATGTAACTATTAAAACCACCAATCTCCAGTTTGATTGCCCATCAGTTAAAACAAAACACAACACAACAAAAACCCCAGCAATCCCCTTACACAGATCCTTTTCATTTCCCCCCAAAACTGATATACAATCTAAAGTCATCACTATAATCTTTTAAATTTGTTTTTTCCTTTTTTTTCCTTCTTTTTTTTTTTTTGAGATGGAGTCTTGCTCTGTTACCCAGGCTGGAGTGCAACGGCACGATCTCGGCTCACTGCAACCTCCAACTCCTGGGTCCAAGCAATTCTCCTGTCTCAGCCTCTCAAGTAGCTGGGATTACAGGTGCATGTCACCACTCCCAGCTAATTTTTTTGTATTTTTAGTAGAAACAGGGTTTCGCCATGTTGGCCAGGCTGGTCCTGAACTCCTGACCTCAGGTGATCCTCCCCCTCGGCCTCCCAAAGTGCTGGGATTACAGGGATGAGCCACCTCGCCTGGCCATTTTTTCAATTTAAACTTGGACTAAAGTTCAATGCCTGCTTCAAATCACTGATACATAAGAAACAAACGTTGAAGAAGTTCCCATGTGAAACCTGTTTCTGACCCTGATAAGGAGGACTCTCAACATCAGAGAATATATTTATGCAAGGAGGGGGTACCTGAGCTACCAGGAAAAGATTCGAGTGAGCTGCCCTAAAACCCACAAAGAGCGCCAGGCACAGGGGCTCACGCCTGTCATCCCAGCACTTTGGAAAGCTAAGGCAGGTGGATCACTTGAGGTTAGGAGGTCAAAATAAGCCTGGCCAACATAGTGAAACCCTATCCCTACTAAAAACACAAAACTCAGCCAGGCGTGATGGTGGGCACCTGTAATCCCAGCTGCTTGGGAGGCTGAGACAGGAGAATCACTTGAACCCGGGCAGCAGAGGTTGCAGTGAGCCAAGGCCGCACCATTGCACTCCACCTTGGGCAACAGATCAAGACTCTATCTCAAAAAAAAAAAAACCTACAAAGAGAAGAAACTCTTTAATCACTTTTTCAGTTTAAAACCCCTTCTCTTTGGTTGATAAATACCATCATAACTCAAAAAAACCTCCTTACCCTTTATGAAGAAATGTTAGAAAGCTCCTCTGGGAACAGCCCAGAGGGTGTTATTGGTTCTCACATCCAGGCCAAACAGTATCACCCAAAACAATATATTCTTAACAAAATGTTATTTCTCCCTACCACTCTGGTATAATAGCATTTCTGTGCACTTTTCCCCATTCCTCAAGGAATGAGGCTGAATTCCCTATTAGGTAAGAGTTTGTAGTAACAAACTTCCTGGTGTGGGCCTGAATGGACTTAATCTTTAAGGAAAAGGCCGAAGATCCTGGTTCTCTATGGCCTGAATGGACTTAATCTTTAAGGAAAAGGCCGAAGATCTTGGTTCTCTATACCCGATGTGAAAACCTGTTTGAGGTATCCGAGGGCTAAAATTTGGCAACAAGGAATGCCACCTTCTCTATTTGAATACGATTTTGACATAATTATTTCTGTTGCCAGAGAGAGCATCTTGAGCTCCGTTTTGGAGAAGTGGAAACTATGGCCCAGAGAACAAGAATGGCTTGCCTAGAGTCACACTTGGTTTGCCGCAGGGCTGTGAATTGGTTCGTCTTCACACTCCCCATTTAGTTGAGGAGTGGGGGCTACTAGATTTGGTGTCAGAAAACCAATTCCTGCACTTGCGTAAATCATTTCACTGTCCTGAGACTCCGTCTGCTAATTTGGATTCTAGAATAACACAATCCACTTTACAAGTGTGTAAGGAGGAAAGTAAATAACAAACGGGAAAAGTGCTTTGTAAACTGTCTACACAAATGTAAGAGACCGTTATTACAACACAGAGGAAGAAGCTGAAAAAAGGCAACGTCCTGCACTCCCAAAACTGGCAAAGAAATTACTACAATCACTAAGTGAAAGAATCCTGGCGGGGGAGGCGGGGGCAGGATTCAATTTTCCAACTCAAGCCACCAAAAAGTATTCTAAACGTGTGCTTGTGAGAGACAGCTTTTCAAGTTTGATTTTGTTTTTTCCCTGAAGCCCCTAAGAATAAGTTCTAGAAACTTCAAGATCTCTCCGGGATGACCCTGATAGCAAGCAACTGTTTCCCCTCCCTGGCCCCTGCCAATTTCAGAAAACAGGCACCTTAAAAAAAAAAAAAAAAAAAGTCTTAGTTGCCACTCCACACGCCGTACGCGAAAGCCCAGACAGACTCTGCTCATCCTCTATGCGGGTCTGCACAGACACCACCCCAGTTATATCCTTCTATCGATCGGTCGATCCAGCTACAGACAACTCCCTTACATTCCAATTCTAGGGCTTCTTTCAGCAAGACAGATGCTTTCCTCTGCGAGGCTCCCCGCTGGCCACCAGCCCTGCTCTCGCGACCTGCCGCTCCGACTGACGGGAAACCCCACACCGGGCGGGGACTCCCCAAGGAAAAAAGGGGTCGCCTCCCAACCCGCGTTGCCCTCGCGCCTTCGCCCTGGGTAGGTGAGGCCGAGGAGGCAACCGCGAAAAGGAGGCGGAAACGCCTCCTGCCCGACCCCCGAAAAGTTGACCGCGACCCCGCCTCATGTGGCCCCTCCCAACCCCGTCTCTTTAACTAAGGCAACAGCAGTGAGAGCGCATCATTTAGTTTCGGCGAACCCATCTTTAAAGCACGAAACTACTACGTCCCTTATGTTGAGTTCTGTGAAACCGTCTCCAGGGATCAAATTCAAGAGTTGCGGCCACACGACGTGCCACATATCGTTACACGGCGGGGGAAGAAGCGGATTACGCCTCCCGTCCCCTCCCCACCTCCGGTCACTGCGACGAGTCCCCAAACTCGCCCGCGGTCAGAGAACCCGCGGCTGACCCAGATTCCGCCGGGCGGAGGGCGGAGGGCGGAGGGCGGCGCGCGCGGCTTCCCGGAGGAGTGGGCGCCGCCGGAGCAGACAGTGCGCGGACCCTGAAAGCGACCCCAGTCCGCGCCCGTCGCGACGTCGGACGCCCAGGGCCTCGAGGCCGGGGGAGCCCACCCCCCAAAAAGATGAGTTGGCCGCACTGCAGAAAAGTTGGACTAACTTCTCAGGCGCCGATGGCTGCGGCAGGGGCCGAGTGGGACTGGGGGGTCGCGTCCCACGCCGCTGGCCCTCAGGAGGAGGAGCGCCGGGAGCGAAGCGGCAGAGCGCCCCCACCAGCCCGCTTCCCGCCCCCACGAGGCCAGGACGCCCGACTCGATGAAAGCCGAAAGGAGCTAAGCCCCCATGCACACACAAAAACGCCCCTAGAAACTTCAACCCTTCGCCATTTTAAGTAGAAGATTTTAATGATTTAAAACTTAAAATTAAACATTTCCCCAACCCTAAACCGGGGGGGCGGGGGCTAACTTATTACTCCATCCCCGCACACCCACCCAGGACCACCAGAAATCCGATTCTCAGAATACAGGACTGATGGGGAAGGGGTGGGGGCTGAGTCATCTCACCTCCTCCGGGGCTCTGTTCCTTAACTCCAGGTTAATCTTCTTCTTCATCTCCATGTCCTCCTCTTGCTCTTCAGCTACTACTCTCCTTCTTTTCCCTTTCCTGCCTTTCCCAATACCCCCAACCCAAAATTTTTAAGAGATTTAGAAATGAATGAAAAGGAACGCAAATATAAACGCCCACTACCACCAGATAGGTGTGGGGGAGAAAGAAGAGAATAGCAAATGGAGTCCAAGAGTTGGGACTCTAACTCAGCTGCCCCCACCTCCTTGTCCACACACTAGCGCGCGCACTCACACGCACGCACGCGCGCACACACATACACACACACACATACACACACACACACACACACTCACACACCCGCAGTTCCTTCCCCTTCAATGGCTGCTCAGAGACTGAGCCTCCATGACACGGCACCGCCAACCCCCTGGCCTACACTCCACCCACCTCCCAAACGTATTGGTTGATTCTTCAGCGTCACATTATTCCATTGGGCTAGGTAAATGTCTATCAGTCTTCAGGGAGGACCTGGACCAGAAACTCCGTATCTATTGGCTACGATCAAGGGCGCAGTTAATTTTGATAGGTCCAGGAGGGTGTACGTCCGGGAGTAATGATTTTGAATCCCAGTACCCCCCCTACTTTTCTTTATGTAGTTGGCGCGCTTTCCCTGGGCACTCGGGCGGTTTTGTTGTCTGTTGGATTTGGTTTTTAGTTTTTGGTTTTTTATTCTGTTGTTAGTGTTAAAGAGGGAGAAAGCATCCTTCCGTGCCCAACTTGCGATACTGATAATTCACCACACGGCATGCACTGGCTCTTGGCCGTTTTAAAAGCTTTGCAGCCAAGGTGTACAGCAACGTGCGCATCACATTAAAAAGATGCCTTGGTGGCATTGTCCTGCTGGGGTCAGGCTTTTCACAGAGGCTGACCTTCCGTGATGCAGAGCCAGAACCAAGATTTTAAAGATGGTAGTTTAACACTATAAAAGACAACAATTTTGAAAGCAGTTGGGTGAAGTATGTAAGTTAATAATATTTAAATAAAACTATCCTGGAGGAATTGTTACTGAGTTAATTTTTGCTGTAATAAACACTAAGACCTTGGAGGAAAAACAACGCTGGCCTAATGAAAATCAGACATTAATTAGCATAGAAATGGCACAGCAATGCCTCTCTAATTTCCCTTTGGTTGGTTTCCATGGAAATCTGTAGGTAAAGTGTGCTTTTAAAAGTGTTTATCGCTTCTTCTCTGCCTTTTGGCTAAGATCAAGTGTAGGATCTGTTCTTAACAGTTTAATATCTGATATATTTTCTATCCGAGTCCAATATATTAAATGGATTTGGGGAGCAGGAAGACGCAATAGGAGCTTTCTTGTTCACTTAACGCATCCACCTGGTATTACAGTACCTCCAGGAACAGTGCACCCCCTCAAGGGATTAAAATTTAGTGTTCAAGACAGAAGAAGGAAAAAAAAAAACCAGTTTGTCTATGTGGGATGGGATATGAAAGAGTGGGATAATAATTATCTTTTAGCCGGGTGTAGTGGCTCACACCTGTAATCCCAGCACTTTGGAAGGCCAAGGCGGTGGGATCACCTGAGGTCAGGAGTTCGAGACCAGCCTGACTAATATGGTGAAACCTCGTCTCTACAAAAAATACAAAATAGTAGCCAGGTGTGGTGGCGGGCGCCTCTAATCCCAGCTACTCCAGAGGCTGAGATAGGAGAATTGCTTTAACCTAGGAGGCGGAGTTTGCCGTGAACCGAAATCGTGCTATTGCGCTCCAGCCTGAGCAACAAAACCCAAACTGTCTCAAACAAAAAAAAAAAAAAGAATTATCTTTTAAAATTTTGTCTTGAGGGTCTTTTTTCTTAGCTCTTGCTTAAATTCTATCATTCTTATTGCCTTACATCATTCTCAGGATAAATAACCAAATAAATTCCAAATGATATGGGGAAGCAGGTAGGAAGTGGAGGAACTAGTCCCATACCTCCCAGAACTGGTTGCTATTTTTCCTGTTTCTAAGGTTAGAGATCTTTGGCTTTCCAACAGAATCCTCACAACTCCACCTTCCCTACTCCACCCCCAACAGAGACACACTGCTCCTCAAAGAGGATTACATTTAAAATGTAAATGCTGGCCGGGCACGGTGATTCATGCCTGTAATCCCAACACTTTGGGAGGCCGAGGCGGGTGGTCACCTGAGGTCAGGAGTTCGAGACTACCCTGGCCAACATGGTGAAACCCCCGTCTCTACTAAAAATACAAAAAGTAGCCGGACACGGTGCGGCGCGCCCGTAATCCCAGCTTCTCGGGAGGCTGAGGCGCTAGAATGGCTTAAACCCAGGAGCGGGAGATTGCAATGAGCCTGAGCGACAGAGTGAGTCAAGATGGCGCCACCGCACTCCAACCTGGGCGACAAAGTGAGACTCTGTCTCAAAAAAAAATTAAATAAATAAAATGTCCAAGGACTCTCAGGCAAAGGAGAGCAAAACAAAGTTGAAGGGGCAAGGTTGAAGGGGAAAAGAGAGGAGGGAGGGATTTTCTACCAAAGTCCTCAAGGAAACTGAGGAGTAGGTAAAGAAGGAAAAAAATGTATGGAAGCCAAAGAAGAGACGGAAGAGATTATTACTGATGTCAGACGGTAGGGTTTCAAATAAAAGATGAAGATTGGGGTTAAATTGTATCCTGGAAATAATGTGACGAAAGGCCATGAACTCATTTTACCATTGAATAGTGGCTGCAGAAAGTACACCATAGGGCGGGCCGCGGTGGCTCCCGCCTGTAACCCCAGCACTCTGGAAGGCGGAGGCGGGTGGATTACGAGGTCAGAAGATCGAGACCATCCTGGCTAACACGGTGAAACCCCATCTCTACTAAAAATACAAAAAGATTAGCCGGGCACGGTGGCGGGGCGCCTCTAATCCCAGCTACTCGGAGAGCTGAGCAGGAGAAATGGCGTGAACCGAGGGCGACATTGCTTGACGCGAATCGCCCACTGCACTCCAGCCTGGGCGACAGAGCGAGAGACTTCGTCTCCAAAGGAAAAAAAAAAAAAAAAAAAAGGAGTGAAATTTAGTCGGGAGAAAAGCCAAAGCAACAACTCATGTACCAGATCAGATCACTTTTAGCTGAAGTAATTAGGTAAGGTTTAAATGGCAAAATGAAAAGTGAGGTTAAGTAAACCAAGTTAAGGTGGGCATGGTGTCTCTCGCCTGTGTAATCCAGCATTTTGGGAGGCCAAGGTGAGCAAACCACTTGAGGCCAGGAGTTTGAGACAGCCTGGCCAACATGGTGAAACCCCATCTCTATTAAAAATACAAAATTAGCCAGGGTGTGTCACATGGCCTGGTCTATACCAGCTATCTGGGAGGCTGAGCACAAGAATCACTTGAACCCAGGAGTGGAGATTCCAGTGCGCCAACATCATGCTAGTGAACTCCAGGCCTGGGTGACAAAGCAAGATTCTGTCTCAAAAAAAAAAAGTACCTAGTTAAGTGGAGCAGGGTGAGAGTGTATTCACGAAACTCCTTTAATCTAACAGTAGAAAGCTCCGTCGGTAATATTTATTATTATTATATATAATTTTTTTTTTTTTTAGATGCAGTCTTACTGTCTCCCAGGCTGGGAGTGCAGTGGCCTGATCTCGGCTCACTGCAAGCTCCGCCTCCCGGTTCACGCTATTCTCCTGCCTCAGCCTCCCCAGTAGCTGGACTACAGGCGGCCGCCGCACAACGCGCCGGCAATTTGTGTGTGTATTTTTAGTAGAGACGGGCTTTCACCATATTAGCCAGGATGATCTCGATCTCCTGACCTCGTGATCCGCCCGCCTGGGCCTCCCAAAGTGCTGGGATTACAGGCGTGAGCCACCGCACCCGGCCCCTCAGGATACTATTAAATTCAACATTCCTTTAACATTCAAAAACCAAGCTCATCTACTGCTGCTGAATATATTGTTTGCACGTCTAGATCTACTCTTCACTCTTCTCCACACTGCTCCGTAAGGCAAAACCTATATGGACTGCGTGAAGTCCTATGGCTTCCTGGACTTGGTCCTGATAGGAAATCAAGTTAGGAGGAAGGTGAGGTTGGACATTTATTCCCCCAGCTTCCTCTCTGCCAGGTCCATACAAAATGGCTGAGTCCCTCTATGGAAAGCCACAGACGGTGTCAGAACTGTGGTGGACACTGTGATGTACCACCCAGCTTTTCCTTCAGGAATGAGGAACTTGTTCCTATAGCTACTGGGAGTACTACTGGAAGATGACCCTAAACTGTCAGCCCTTGTAGGGGATTGCCTTGGCTCAAGATTACCTCACTCAAGGTTATACCTCCTTTTGGGGAAGCCTGAATCCAGTGAGTGATTAACACAGAGGTGTAAAGGACCAGCCTGCTCTTTTGCCCAGATTTAGACAAACTCAGAAGGGTCATCCCAGCTCCAGAGCACCCTGTCGGGGTCAGCTGAGGCCTTTGTTAGGACAGCATTGCCATTCAGTTTCTCTCTCTACTTAATCCTGCTTCTTTCTCCTCCCTTCCACACGTAATGGTCCCAGTATCACTCAACAACAAATGTCCCGACATCTCACTCTGCTTCCTGGGGACGTGTGACAGTGGCTCTCTCCAAATACCTACCATCTGAGAAAGCCCAAACTAACCTATAAAGGCAATCACCTGGAGAAGCCTTGAGACCATGTAAAGAGAGTGAGAGGTGCCCAGCCAGCCCCCAGCTTCTTCAACCACCATTCCAGCTGCAGCCACCGTCTGACCTCAGGAGAGATCATGAGTCAGAACCAGCCAGCTCAGCCTTTCCCAAACTCCTGTGCCACAGAAATCACCAGAAATAATAAAATAATCATTATTCTTTTAAATATCTAAATCCGGTGTTGTTAGGGTAGCAATAGTAATTAGAACAACTTCCTAGCATACATTTTTCTGATCAAATCTCACTAGTGGGCTGGGCACAGTGGCTTACATCTGTAATCCTAGCACTTTGGGAGGCCAAGGCAGGCAGATCACTTGAGGTCAGGAGTTCGAGACCAGCCTGTCCAACATGGTGGACCTCGTCTCTACTAAAAATACAAAAAAATTAGCCAGGCATGGTGGTGGATGCCTGTAATCCCAGCTACTTGGGAGGCTGAAACAGGAGAATCGCTTGAACCCAGGAGGCAGAGGTTGCGGTGAGCCAAGATTGCAACCATTGCACTCCAGCCTGGGTGACAGAGCGAGACTCCATCTCAAAAATAAAAAATAAAAAAAACAAATCTCACTAGTACCCTTTTTGTTCTGTGATGACAGTTGATAGTCATTCAGATCCTTTTAGTTTTCTTATGCTATTTCCTACCTTAAACAAGTTTCCCTCCACTTGTTAAATGTTCTCAGCACTTATTAAATGTCTACTCGTTTAGCATTTACCTTATGATGCCTTGCAACATCTCATTTACGTTTGTG